TAAGATAAACACGTCGTGACTTCTTCCTCCTATCATTGTGTACCACGTCATGTCCATCTCTATTCGTTACACTCTGTTCATCTGATTTCCTCAAATCAAGAACACTACAATCTTACCTTTACAAACGATGCAAAGGTTGACTAATAACTTTGTGAGAACTATGTGTATGTGTTTCTAGACCTCTTCTTACATCTATTTTAATCTCAATAGCAAACATGACTTGATTCGTATGCTTTCTCTTTCGGAAACTCTACGAAACTAAAAAATAATCAAACTAGTTGATTCAATCACTAGGAGACTCTCACGTACCTTATTTGCATTTCATGAGTGATTATACAACATGTGATCTTCATTGCAAAGTGATTTGCGTAATATTGTGTTAGAATTACGTTTGAAATCCGTATAGGTGTTTTGGACTAGAATAATTTTCTGTTTTGGTTGTTTTGAATGTTCATATATGTTGGTTCGCAAACTAAGATAAACACGTCATGGCTTCTTCTCCCTATCATTGTGTACCATGTCATGTCCATCTCTATTCATTACACTCTGTTCATCTGATTTCCTCAAATCAAAAACACTACGATCTTACCTTTACAAACGATGCAAAGGTTGACTAATAACTTTGTGAGAACTATGTGTATGTGTTGCTAGATTTTTTCTTACATCTAATTTATTCATCATAGCAAACATGACTTGATTCGTATGCTTTCTCTTTCGGAAACTCTACGAAACTAAAAAAAAATTAAGCTAGGTGATTCAATCACTAGGAGACTCTCACGTGCCTCATTTCATTTCGTGAGTGATTATACATCATGTGATATTCATTTCAAAGTGATTTGAGTAATATCGTGTTAGAATTACGTTTGAAATCTGTATAGGTGTTTTGGACTAGATTAATTTTCCGTTTTGGTTGTTTTGGATGCTTATATATGTTGGCTCACAAGCTAAGAAAAACACGTCATGGCTTCTTCCCCCTATCATTGTGTACCACGTCATATCCATCTCTATTCGTTACACTCCGTTCATCTAATTTCCTCAAATTAAGAACACTACAATCTTACATTTACAAACGATGCGAAGGTTGATTAATAACTTTGTGAGAACTATGTGTATGTATTAATAGACCTCTTCTTACATCTATTTTTAACCTCAATAGCAAACATGACTTGATGGAAACTCTACGAAACTAAAAAACAATCAAACTAGTTGATTCAATCACTAGGAGACTCTCACGTGCCTCATTTGTATTTCATGAGTGATTATACACCATGTGATCTTCATTGCAAAGTAATTTGAGTAATATTGTGTTAGAATTACGTTTGAAATCCATATAGGTGTTTTGGACTAGAATGATTTTCTGTTTTGGTTGTTTTGAATGCTCATATATGTTGGCTCCCAAACTAAGATAAACACGTCGTGGGTTCTTCCCCCTATCATTGTGTACCATGTCATGCCCATCTCTATTCATTACACTCCGTTCATCTGATTTTCTCAAATCAAGAACATTACGATCTTACCTTTACAAATGATGCAAAGGTTGACTAATAACTTTGTGAGAACTATGTGTATGTGTTACTAGACTTTTTCTTACATCTAGTTTAACCATAATAGCAAACATGACTTGATTCGCATGCTTTCTCTTTCGGAAACTCTACGAAACTAAAAAAAAATCAAACTAGGTGATTCAATCACTAGGAGACTCTCACGTGCCTCATTTGTATTTCGTGAGTGATTATACACCATGTGATATTCATTTCAAAGTGATTTGAGTAATATCGTGTTAGAATTACGTTTGAAATCCGTATAGGTGTTTTGGACTAGATTGATTTTCTGTTTTGGTTGTTTTGGATGCTCATATATGTTGGTTCCCAAGCTAAGATAAATACGTCGTGGCTTCTTCCCCCTATCATTGTGTACCACGTCATGCCCATCTCTATTCGTTACACTCCGTTCATCTAATTTCTTCAAATTAAGAATACTACAATCTTACCTTTACAAACGATGCGAAGGTTGATTAATAAGTTTGTGAGAACTATGTGTATGTGTTACTAGACCTCTTCTTACATCTAGTTTAACCACAATAGCAAACATGACTTGATTCATATGCTTTCTCTTTCGGAAACTCTACGAAACTAAAAAACAATCAAACTAGGTGATTCAATCACTAGGAGACTCTCACGTGCCTCATTTGCATTTCATGAGTGATTATACACCATGTGATCTTCGTTGCAAAGTGATTTGAGTCTTATTGTGTTAGAATTATGTTTGAAATCCGTATAGGAGTTTTGGACTAGAGTTATTTTCTGTTTTGGTTGTTTTGAATGCTCATATATGTTGGCTCCCAAGGTACGATAAACACGTCGTGGCTTCTTTCCCCTATCATTGTGTACCACGTCATGCCCATCTCTATTCGTTACACTCCATTCATCTGATTCTTTCAAATCAAGAACACTACAATCTTACATTTACAAACGATGCGAAGGTTGACTAATAACTTTGTGAGAACTATGTGTATGTGTTGCTAGACATCTTCTTACATCTAGTTTACCCACAATAGCTAACATGACTTGATTTGTATGATTTCTCTTTCGGAAACTCTACGAAACTAAAAAATAATCAAACTAGAAGATTTAATCACTAGGAGACTCTCACGTGCCTCATTTGCATTTCGTGACTGATTATACACCATGTGATCTTCATTGCAAAGTGATTTGAGTAATATCNTGTTAGAATTACATTTGAAATACGTATAGGAGTTTTGGACTAGATTGAT